TCTGTAATTCAATATTTAATGAGTAAAAGTTGAGTTTTTCTCACGCTTTTCTCCGTAGAACTGCTTTTTGAGTCGGTGGTAGTAGCACACGGATGAACTACTGACGAATGACGATTAGGTATATAAAATAATAAAATAAAGTTGATGCTACAAAATCACTGAATATAAGAAAATATGCAAGGAATATCTCGAAATTTTATAAGTGTCATCCTTGATCCTACACTATACTTATTCAGAAATACAATGAGGGCGTGTTTTTATGGTTATTGTGTATGTATGTGTTTGTGTAATGATGTGTTCGTCACTTCTTCTCACTGAAAGAGTTGGAAGGGTTTGGATGAAATGAACTGTAACTAATTATGTACTTGGAGTAACTATAGTATACTTTATTTTTATGTCTAATCTTTTTTTGTTTGTTTTAGGGTAAACATACTACTAATTTAAAAAATCATTTATCGTTGAAACATTATAATGAGTACAAGAGTATTATGACAATGAATAAAGAAAATAGTAAGCCACAGGTGTCTTTAGAGCGAATTAAACAATTAAAACACAATTGTGTTAAATTAGTAACCATTCATGGAAGACCTTTTGCTATTTTACAAGACCAAGCTTTCCAAGACATTATTAAAATGGTAACACCCTCAAACGCTCACGAAATATCTATTGGATCCATTAAAAAACTTGTAATAGATAAAGCATACGAAGTCAAATTAAAAATAAGCAAAGAAGTTAGACATAAAATGATTAGTCTTAAACTAGACGCCGCACGACGTATATGGATAGAAATTTTTTAGGAATTAATTTGCAATATGTTAATGACGGAGAAATAAAAGTTAGAAATTTAGCTATTGTTGAAACAGTAGAAAGGCAAACTGGTGATTTTTTAACAGAGAAGCTTATCGAAATTTTGAATGATTTTATGATCGACATTTCACAAATATATTCCATAACTACGGACAACGGCAAGAATTTTAAAAAAATTACTACCCTATTAGGCTGTAAGTTATATACTGAGAATGAAGATGAAACTAATAAAGAAAATGAAGACGCAGATGATACAAGTGATGATGAGGAAATAGAGGAAGAAAATGAACGCACACAAGAAATACATGAATTTGAAAATATTATGAATAATAATTCTTTTTTAGACAATATTAATAATAGCACCATACCATCATATAAATATAAGCCTCGCGTAATGCTTTATGCTGCGCATACGCTGCAATTAGCAGTAAGAGACGCTATAAATGTAAACATTGAAACACAAAGTATAATAGAATTGGCAAGAAAAGTGGTACGTATTTTACGAAGACCCACCATAAAAAATATTCTCAGAGTATCCAATTTAAAAAAACCCATCATTGATTGCACAATGCGTTGGATATCTACATATAAAATGTTGGGACGTCTCTTTGCTCTTAAATCGGTATGTGATAGTAATTGCGACATTGCTAATTTGTTGTCGACAAAATTTTGGGATGAACTTTCATTAACTATTAGTTGTTTAAAACCAATAAATGAAGCGACTTTAAGTTTACAAAAACAACAAATCACTATTGGCGATATTTTTATTATATGGTTGACGTGCAAATCTCGCATGGAGATTTTTTCTATACCTTTTGCTCAAGATTTGTGTGAGGGCTAGCCCTGAAACTGTAAGGGCTGGGACACCTCACATTGACGATGAGCTGAAGCGGGGGTTGGAGTAGGAGATGTAAGGGTGTGCACTTACTTGGAATGTAGATGGGCGGATGATAGATGGATGGCGCTGGGTGAGTGGCACGCTCCTGAGCTGAATATACCTTTGCACGTATAGGTACACGTGCAACAAAGTTTTATTTCATACGCTGTATTCACTATCACTATAATTAGTTCAATTGTCTGTATAGTTCACTTTAATAGAAGCCGGCCGGCAATATACTTATAATAATAAACACACGAGCAGATGAGCTGAAGGGTTTTACTTTTACATATATTTTCAATTTAACGACCCTTCTCGAACCGAGGACGACGCGTCACTTTTTCCGAGTGGCGCGAATGCGACGCTCGCGCCGAATCAATGAGTAAGAGTGAGAGAGCAAATCAGGGAACCAATCGTCGCGCACGAGTGGCGCGAACAATTTGCTTAAATCTATGAAGGCAAGAGAAAAAAATATTTTGAATAATAATTTAGTTTTAGAAAACATATATGTAGATAGACGATTGAACGTCATTTTGTCCGATGAAGAGTGTGCAAAAGCACAATCTTTGATCCAAGAGACCTATACACAGCTACAGCATATAAAAGAATCTCAAATTGATGAGAATATACTTTATAAGGATCCCCATTTAATTGAAAACAATCAAAATACCTCTAGTTCACAGACATAGAAATAATATTACAACAAACAGAAAAAGAAAGAGGATTACACTCTGCAAAGACAGCTTCTTCTTTAGAAATTACATTGAAAGAATTAAGATTTGCACCAAGATTAGCCCCAATTGAAAATATTATTAAAGATTGGACAAATAAAGGAACTGTTTCTTCTACATTAGATGCTGTTGCTAATACAGTTTTAGCAGCACCTGCGACTCAAGTGTCTGTTGAACGTTTATTTTCATCATTAAAATTTATTTTATCTTCTTTAAGAAGTAACATGGACGGTCATTTATTACAAAATGTAATGCTTTTAAGATCAAATCACGATGTATATGACGATAACTTGGACTCCCATTCTTAATACTCATACTTTACACGCACGTACGCGCACACATAAGCAAGCATGCACACGCACACACACGCACACACGCACACGCGCACACGCGCACACACACACACGCACACAGACATACAGACACACACAGACACAGACACACACAGACACACACAGACACAGACACACACACACACAGACACAGACACACACACAGACACACACAAACACACACACAGACACACACACACACACACACACAGAGACACACACACACACACATGACACACACACACATGACGCACACACACACATAACACACACACACACATGACGCACACACACACATAACACACACACACACATGACGCACACACACACATGACACACACACACACATGACGCACACACATATGACACACACACACATGACGCACACACATGACACACACACACATGACGTACACACACACATGACACACACACGCACACACACACATGACACACACACACACACATGACAAACACACATGACAAACACACACGACACACACACCACGACACACACACGACACACACACGACACACACACACGACACACACACACACGACACACACACACATGACACACACACGACACACACGACACACGACACACACACGGCACACACGACACACACACGACACACATGACACACATGACACACATGAACACACACATGACACACACACACGACACATGACACACACATGACACACACACACACACACACACACACACACACACGACACACACGACACACTCGACACACACACACGACACACACGACACACACACATGACACACACATGACACACACACATAACACACACACACACACAACACACATGACACACATGAACACACACATGACACACACACATGACACACACACATGGCGCACACACACACACACACACACACATGACACACACACACACATGACACACACACACACTAACACACACACCTGACACACACACACACACACGACACACATGACACACACGACATACACACACGACACACACGACACACATGACACACACGACATACACACACGACATACACACACGACACACACGACACACACACATGACACACACATGACACACATGACACACACACACGACACACACACACGACACACACACACACACACACACACACACACACACACACGACACACACACATGCCACACACACACATGACAGACACACACGACACAGACACACACGACACACACACACACGACACACATGACACACATGACACACACATGACACACACACACGACACACACACACGACACACACACACACACGACACACACACACGACACACACACACACACGACACACAAACACGACACACACACGACACACATGACACACATGACACACATGACACACACACATGACAGACACACACACGACACACATGATACACATAGCACACACATGGCACACATGACACACATGTCACACATCACACTCATGACACACATGACACACATGACACACATGACACACATACATGACACACACACATGGCACACGACACACATGGCACACATGACACACACACATGACACACACACACACACATGACACACACACACACACACATGACACACACACACATGACGCACACACACACACACACACACAAACACACGACACACACACACACACATGACACACACACACATGACGCACACACACACACACACACACACACACACACACACACACACACATGACGCACACACACACACACACACATGACGCACACACACACACACACACACACACACAGACACACAAACACACATCTACACACACACATGACACACACGCACACACACATGACACACACACGACACACACACACATGACACACATGACACACACACACACACACACATGACACACATGACACACAAACACATGACACACACACACGACACACACACACACGACACACACACACGACACACACATATGATACACACACACGACACACACGACACACACACACGACACACACACACGAGACACACATACACACGACACACACACACACACACGACACACACACACACACACACACACACACACACATGACACACACACATGACACACACATGACACACACACATGACACACACATGACACACACGCCAACCCCAACCCGTACTCGCGCGGCAACGCGTGCGCCAACTGCTGGCACGTGCTCTGCGGCCCGCTCGCGCCCTGTCTCATAGACCGGTATGTGTTTCCTCTCCTCCGCCTCCGCTCTTGACTTTACCGTATCGTGTTGAGTGGCTCACTGTAGCGAGTGTGTGCTCAGGCGCGGCATCGTGTCGAGGGACGCGCGCGACGAGATGCCGCCGCGCTTCGCGCAGGTGCTGTGCGCGCCGCCCGCCGCCGCCCCCGCGCCCGCCCCCGCGCCGCCCGCCGCCGCCGCCGCCCGCCGCGCCGCCCTCGCCGCTGCCGACACCTCCCGCGAACCATCGAGACGGTGAGTCACGCGACTTATCGTACCAGCTTTGTCCGTCGCATTGCTGGTATTTTAAGCATCGTTCTTTACGACTAGATTTATTTAAAGCTTTTATGAATTTAATATACATATTTTGTGCAGGTGTACTTAGCGGGCTGGCGGGGCTGGGCGGCAGCTACATGAACTTGTTTGAGAGCGAGGCGCGGCACGCGTACATGAACCACAGTCTCGACCTCGACCCCGTGCCGCTGCAAGGTGAGCGCACGCGCGAGAGTGTGTGTGAGCGCGTGGGCGAGCGAGCGCTGACCGGCCGCTCTGTTGCAGAGGTGTGCGTCGGCGGCGGCGGGGGCGGGGGCGGCGGCGCGGCGGGCGGCGGCGGCGCGGTGGCGGGCGGCGGTGCGCGCTGAGCGCGTCGCGCCTGCGCCTGCTGCACGACACCACCATGATTGACGCGGCGCTGGACCTGGACGAGCCGGAGCCGCCGCCCGCGCACCACGCGCACGCGCACGCGCACCACCACGCGCACGCGCACGCCGCGCTCGCGCTGGCGCTTTGACCTGGCGCCTTCCTTGTATATAAATGCCTTCCCGACACCCCAATAAACTAACCCCGCCAATATTGTGTTTTTATTTTTTAATTTTATAAGCATGCGACGATGATACTCGAATCTCTCTATCCATTTATCATATTTAATTTTTTTTTTAATATAATCTATACTAATATTATAAAAAGTTGAAGTTTGTCAGGTTGTAGGGGATAATCTCTAGATCTACTGAACCAATTTAGATTAAATTTATCAACAACACGGTAACAAGATAGTTTGAGACCCTGGGAAGGACATATTATACTTTTTATCCCGGAAATTATCCCTTAAGAGGGATGGAAGAATGGAAAATGGGGATGAAAGTTTATATTAAGAAGCGAGGGTGAGTCGTTAGTTAAATGATAGACTCCATGAATCGATTTTTCATAAATCAAAAATTTTTCATATTTTATTTTCTGGAAAATTTGTAAGTATATAGAAAAAGAAAAAATGTTTTCAGCAATCTATTAATCGAAACGTGAGACGAAAAAGTGTCTTAAACTTAAAAGATGTGAAGAATATCTTCATATTAATATGTTTCTTGATTTTTCTTTCTTCATTAGTAATGTTTCCTTAACGATTCGTTTTTTTCCAAATTTTCAACAAAAATGGTGAATCAGGCGAAGTTGTGCAAGTGTACGAAATGCGTAAAGATTCATCCTTAATTTCTTTCCATGTATCTAAAGTATTTTTCCCATTATTAAATTTTTACACAACTTTATATTTAAATTTTGCCTTTTTCTCCTGCCAGATGTCGCGATCACTATGATCCTCAGTATATTGTAAAGCTATAAGGCGTGGACAGATATTTTTTCATTTTATTTAAAATTAAATTAAAATGACAAATTGTGCAGTACCAGGAGGTATAGAAAATGGGTATCATTTGTTCCCAAAAGACAATCACTGAAAAAAATGTGGGCTAAAGCTATAAGACGATCTAAATTAGCGAAATCACAATCTTTATATTTAAGGCTATGTGGACATCATTTTACAGAGAGTGATTTTAAAACTTAAATCGTCTACAGGTGATTTTTTTTATGTTTTGTAATTTTTTACATATTAATTACCGAGTTTCATATGAACATTTACCCTCTTAGATTGAATTGGAAAAAAACACGTACGTATCTGTTTAATTGTATTGAATAGCATTGATACCAATTTACAAATAATTCTGATCATAAATAATTCTTTCCCGATATAAACTTTATTACCCCCCTTTACCCCTTTAAAGGATGAATTTCGAAAAAAATCTATAAATATATTTCTTATAAAAAACCAGGTACAAAAGAAATAAATTGCTTAACATAATCGCTAAATCATATTTGTAGCGCTCTTCTTTCAAGAAATCGTCCCTGTTAGATTACGTATGTACAAAATGATAGGACAGATTGATTTACGGTTGAAATCCCTAATGTGCGTCCAACTCATACTCTATTAAAATTAGATGATGGTATACTGGTGGTAGGACTCTGTCAAGCCTGAGGAGTCCGACTGGATGGGTACCACCCCCTTATATATTTCTGCCGTCAAGGAACAATGATTACATTGTTGTGTTCCGTTTAAAGGATAAGGTAGCCAATTGCAGGCAAGAGGCATATTATCGTCCTTACATAGTCCTCACACTGACAACGCACCTGTGGTTCTGCATTTCTTGCAGTTCTTAGCATAAAACCTAAGTGCATGATCCGTATGTGTTATGGGCGACAGGTACCGCTTTCCGTCAGGTGGGCTGCCTGCTCGTATAAAAAAAATAAAAAAGATCGTGGTAGGTACTTGTTTTTTAACTGTGGTAATATGTTATTTATTTTGTATGTAACCTGTGACTTTAAAGACTGAAGTTGACACTCGATTATGTCAATTGTCATTTGTCAAGTTCAACAATTAGCATTGGTCAAGACTGTAGTCTCCATAATCTGTGGTCAACACACAAGTCAAGTGTTTTGTTTATAATTTATTAGTCATCCATTGTCAAGCGCATCTCCTTAATCTGCGGTCAAGTGACCAGGTCATGAGGTCAACGAATAGGTGTTGGTAGTTGGTACTTGGTGTTGCTTATTAACTAGGTAACTATATCATACATATTTACTCTTCTACAGCGGCATAATTCCTTGATTCCTGACAATATATTGAATAAGTTCCTCCTGCAAGGTACGTATTTACATACATTTATGTGATTTTATAGTATATACATAATAAAGACAATTTATTTATGGTTGTACTATAAATAGTATTAAAATTATTTTGTATGTCGATGCTATAATCATCATAAAATTTAAATAGTACCTATTTGCTCCGCTCCCTTGGGTAGTAGTAAGATGATATATAGCCTATAGCCTTCCTCAATGAACGGGCTATCTAATGCAAAAAGAGTTTTTCAAATCGCATTAGTAGTTCCTGAGATAAGCGCGCGCAAACATAAGTCTCTCTTTATGATATTAGTATATATAGTCCTTCAACTAGTCTTGTGTCACAATAAACATACACGGACCTATTATTTTTCCCGTTTCGTATGTCACATTTGCTTGCATTCTGCCGCATTTCTTGGGTGTTGTCCACTCACATGTGGCAGTAACATCCACTGACATTAAGGTTTATCAGCTCGCTTATAAAATCGTCTACGAGTTACGACTATAATCAACTGTATATGATAGTTTCCATTCACTCAGTGACTCAACACTCAACATGCTGATTGCTGTGTCGCTACTTACGTGTACTTGAGATATAATCACAGAATAAGGAGATTACAGATATACTTGAGATTATTGTACTCATTTGCGGGATATCTAAAATGTTAATAAATTAAATACAATGTTACTTGATTATGTTTAAAAGAGCAATTGTTGAGTTTCTCGCCGGCTCTTCTCAGCAGAACTGCTTTCCGAGCAGGTGGTAGCTTTCTCACGGACTGATTACACTGAGACTTAAATTACATTGATGATTCAAAAGTGTGATTTATATTTACTCTTTAAGATTAATAAATGAATATATAATTTCGCTAATATTGACTAGGTATACATTACTGTCTGTCCTGTGTACTTTCATGACCTTGCGCAGTACAGAATTCTATTTAAGGAGGATTTGGTTGCATTCCGTGGAGGAAACATTTCATTGTGTTCAAAGTAACGTTATTTACGGCGTTAAAGTAGTACATTATTTTTGTTTTGTTATATTTATTGTGTTTGGAGCATTATCAACCGACTTCCTCAAAAAGGAAGAGGTTCTCAATTCGGCTGTATGTTTTTTTTTATGTTTTACCTCAGAACTACGTCATTAACCGATTTGGACAATTTTTGTTTTGTTTGAAAGTGCATACTTCCAGATTGGTCCCATTTAAATTTAAAAAAAAAATACCACCCCTAAGGGTGGAAAAATAGCTAATGATGAATTTAACCTACTTCTAATTGTCATATGGACTTGAAACTCTGAAGTGTTTCTATTTCCGTTGATAGAGCAGTGGCTCGGTATAACCGGGCGCGAAGCTAAGAAACGCACAGGGAGGTTGCCCATTTCGGTGGGCGGTGGGAGGTGGCCCTCTTCGGGGGGCGGTGGGAGGTGGCCCTCTTCGGGGGGCGGTGTACCATGCGGGTTGCTCCTGGTACTTCTCTGATAGCAGAGTGGACCTTGGAGCAACCCCATCCTTCGGCAAACCTGCCGTCGGGGCGTCGTAGTTGAATGCGTAAGCGATCCTGCGACGCCCCATTAAGACGGGGGAAGGTTTTTTTGGATTTTAGTGGGTAGTACTGGCTGTATTACGCCGGTGAGTCCCACACGTCGTGCGTAAATGCATTTCCCAACGTTAAAAAAAAAAAAAGTGGTTCGGTATCGTTGACCTGATCTGATGGTAAGGCCAGAAAGTGGACAGGTGAAACTCTTTAATAACTAATACACTTTGAATTATGCTTATTTTGTTTGATTTGGTAAGCCTAACACATTAGAATCGGATTTTAGATCCAGAAGTTTTAGTGTTACTAATAAAAGCGAATTTTAGTTTGTAAATCCTTGTATAATTGGCATCAAAGTAACTTAAACGGTTTAAGCGAATATTTTATTAAAATACTTTCTTCTTACTTGGCTACTACCACTACCTACCACTGCCTACTGTCTACACTAAAAAGAGAAAAATAAAAACTTTTTAACAAAAAAATAAAGTCTGTGTGCTTTGTTTTGTATGGCCTGGCACACCGACTTCGATAATATTTGATTAGGTATGTATAGTAAATTAAAACTACCAATCAGTTATTTTTTACTTTTTAGTGCTTTTTTTGAAGCCGGTTTTTATTTTATTTTAAAAAGTTTTTATTTTTCCCTTTTTTTGGATTAAAAGGAGCAAAATTGATATATTTATTTAGTCACAACAACAAACTTGCGGCAGTACGCACTATGTAGGTATTACCGGCTTCAATCTATATAATAAAATTGTAACTAAGCCTAAAATTGTAACTAAACTAAATCTTATTTAAATAAACGTTATTATCGATACAGGAGCTGAATCTATAGTTTTTAGAATTTTTGTCTGTCTGTTACCGCATCACAGAAAAACCACTGGAGGGATTTTGATGAAATTTGGTATGGTGATAGCTGCTTATCCGGGTCAACATATATAGGATACTTTTTACCACAGGAAAATGTCTCATTTCTGACAAAAAATACAAAAACTGCACTGAGTATACTAATATGTAAAACCTCAGAATTTGGTTTTTGGTCATCTGAACGTGGGTGGAGCTGCGGGCAATGCTAGTTCCCTATATTAATTAAATAGCGACTTAATCTCGCTTCGCTCGGGTTCGTCCCTAGGTTGATTCCCCATACAAAGTTTCACCCCTACTTTCACTCCCTTAAGGGATGATTTCCGGAATAAAAAATATCCTATGTCCTTCCCAGGGTCTCAAACTATCTTCATACCAAAGTTCATCTAAATCGGTCCAGTAGTTTTTGGGTTTATTCGTTACAAACACACAAAAATACAAATCTTTGCTCTTTATAATATTAGTGTAGATCACGGGACCATATCGTATTGTAGTTTGCCGGTTCCATAAAGTATTTTAACCTCTCCTTTACGCGGTTTATTGTTTACACTAAGCAGTGTAAAGCTCGCTTTAGCGAGGATGAATTTAAATGTACAAAGAAAAGTCAGTCCAAACGCCGTGTATTTAACAAGTTAAGTCTCTGAAAAATATAATTACATCGTATGAATGATCAGAGTTCCGCTTGTAACAAGACTCACAAGTGATATGTATATTATAAGATAATATAACGATGAAACCATTTACGACTTCTTATCTCTGAAATGCTTACGTTGCAATACATAGATATTATTGATTGCAGATATATTGACTGTGCGAAAAGCTTGCGGGCTCAGTGTAGTTTGTTCATTACCACTTCACTGGTGCGTATCAATCTATATCTATTCTATATACTATACTTATTGTAAAATAAAGCCCCCCACGGCGTCTGTCTGTCTGAAGTCTGAACGCGATAAACTTAAAAACTTCTGCACCGATTTTTGTACGGTTTTCACCAATGGACGGAGTGATTCATGAGGAAGATTTAGATGTATAATTCATTAAGGTTTTGTGTAAAGTGTTTGAAATATGACGCGGATTGTTGAAGATTTCTGAAAAAATCATGCCGACTGGGAGCTTTACTGGGGTGTGCCTAGTAAACTATTGCAGATAGCAGCACGAAATGTTCTAATAAACAAAAAAAAATACTACAAAAAAGTCCGAAAATCTATCTTGTAAGATGGGAGTCCATCAACACAACCATCTTTATGGTTCTTAAATTGGGTCTAAAATAATGATTTATTTCCGAAAGTGTACCTATTTACTAGCATGGTGTTAATCCTTATCTAAATTAATACATATATTCAAGAACTTAAGCACTTAATTTAGATCAAAACTGTCCATTACACTTTAAATTAGAAGAATATTTTCCGCTCACGGCTCACTTACTCTAGTCGGAACTATATTATCACTTATAGTTCAATCGGAATCCGGTTTGGGAACAAAATATTAAAAACCTGAAGTTTTATGATATTTTAAATAAAACTTTATTTATGATTTTAAAATGTTTTATGATTTTAAAATGTTCGGAGGTATAATATAAGGATTAGAAATTCGTAAAATTCCCCACATGCCCCGCTACCCCCGAGAAATGGGAGGACGCAAAGCGTTAAAAACAGTTTTTTTCAATTTCCGGCTTACTGTGACGTTCTATCGAAAAATGTTTTCTACAAAAGTTGTAGGCCTACTAAAATCTACAACTTTTATAAACAACACTTTTTACAATAACCTCAAAGTTTTCGAAATGTTTGCAAAAAACTCTGTTTTTAATTGTTTCTTGGTTTTTTATTTTTTATTTCTTGAATAATCTTTTCATTTCCATGAAACTAAGGGAATGTAATCTTCGAAATACATATAAGAATTAAAAAAAAATGAAATAGAAATATTTAGCTATTTCCGAGAAAAGTATGTTTTATAATCTCGATTGGCTGAAAATCACCCCCAACTTCAAGTGGGTGTTTACATTTAAAAAAAATCGTCCAATTTTTAGATAGGGCTCATTCTTTTCGTCTTGAACTCTACTTTTTGAAAATATGTATAAAAACATTGTATGGTCATCTTGTAAAAACACCCTTAAAAATTTAAAAAATTGGAGAAATCGATAATGTTTCCTTTGTAAACTATTTTTTTTTTATGATTATTTAACAAAACTATGACTAAATTTTATAAATATCAATTTAATTTTTTTAAATATATTTTTAACTAATGAATAAACAAGATAAGACTATGAATGAATTTCATTTCTTTCTATAATTACCTTAAAATCAAATTTTTCAGAAAAATCAATAAAATCAACTCCAAAATCGATCAAAAACTAATTCAATATCAATAAATTCGACAAAATTATAAGAGACAAATTCTACGGCAAAAAAAAATACAAAACCACTGGTATATTTTACGTGAATTCCCAATTTTTTCACGACTCATCAAATTGAAAAATTGGAATGTTTACGGCATGATACTTACCTACTTTTCTATACCTATGTATGTACATTGTACATATATACATATATAGTCTATTCTATACTTACCGTTCAAACGTACTTAGGGACGAACCCGAGCGAAGCGAGGCTGAGTCGTTTTACATATATATATATATATATATATATATATATATATATATATATATATATATATATATATATATATATATTGTTAGCGGAGAATGCTCAAGAATAGGGGCGTGGCTTGAGTGACGTAATTTGTGGCGTGATGGTGGCGTGGTGGCTCGCTTGACAACGCACGAGTCGCCGACACTGGAGCGGCTAACTTTACTTTTGTCGTGGCTGCCGGAACGGACGGACGTTCACATCATCGCTTCTCTTATTTATTTTAGTATTGTTAATTATTCGTTAAAAAATAATAAAAAGTAATATCTTTAATTTCATCGTGTATATTTTTTTTTTATAATAAAGTTAGTGCATAGATAAAATCAGAAGTGGGATACGCATTAAGTTTCTATAGCTTGGTGTGTGTCCCTAAGCCTGCTGTGGCATTCTGATGTAACTGTTTTTGTAAATCTTTTTAGTTTTGAGTGAAAGTTCGTCAGCTTTTTATAATGCCGAAATCAAGTACAAGTCAACGAAAAAATAAAAGTAGGACATGTGAACGTTCTCCGAGCCCTGGGCTGCTCCAACAACTCCAGGCGATTGTTTCTCGTCTGAATGTGTTGGAAGACAATTCCAGGTTAGGTTCAACTAGTGTGGCTACCATTGGCGGGCAGCCCGTAGTGGAGTCGCCGGGTCCGGCGGTTGGCACCATAGTGTCGCGTGCACCATCTACATCGCGAACGACGTGTGTGACGCCTCCACTGCCGTCTGTGCACGCTTCGCAGGTCTCCGCCAATGATAGCGCTGCTATTGAGGTAGCCGACAAGATTGTAAGTGCAATCAATGGACTAATTCCGGTAAGGTCTAATCACAATGTTTATATATCGAATTTTGATCCTAATATAAATGATATTAATACTTGGTGTGACGAGGTCGACCATTTACGAATCATTCATCAATGGGACGATAGGGAGTGTTTGGCGCGTATTGGTAACTGCTTAAAGGGGGACGCTCGTGTGTGGTTAAATGACTGGATTACTAGCGATCGTAGCTGGACTAATTTTAAACGTGAGTTCAAACCTTTGTGTCCGCGGAAGGTAGACGTAGCGAATATACTTTTTGACACTATGAAAACTGATTCTAATAACTACCCTACATATGCGGAGTATGCTAGGCGATCTTTGTTACGTCTTCGTATAGTGAACGGACTTAGTGACGAATTAATATCGGCGATCGTAATCCGTGGTATAGTTGATCCACAGATCCGTGCGGCTGCTACCAATGCAAAATTAATGCCTAATGATCTGGTCGAGTTCTTGTCTATATATGTAAAACCCTCTCAGACGAAAGTAAATCATAATACCCGCAACATTTCTAGTCGTTTTCATAATACACCGACTTTATCGCGTAAAAGGGAACATAGTTCTAGTAGGACGGGTTGTTTTTCGTGTGGATCCTTTGGTCATAAGCAGATAAATTCTTCGAAGCGTACAAGATTACATAATTCACCTACTAGAAATGATAAACCTACAACATCAAAAACAAGTAGCAGTTCCTCTCAGTCAAAGTCTGTTATTTGCTCGTTTTGTAAAAAAATAGGTCACAAAACAGAGGACTGCTTTGCCAAGCAACGTGTCGAGGCTAATGGAAAATCTAATGTTAATTTTTGCCGTGACACTGTAGATAACTATAGAAAGAATGATATAACTACGGCGGTCATACAGGGTATACCGGTCGATATCCTCATAGACAGTGGGTCCACGATCTCGCTTATGTCAGACTCTGTATCGAAGTATTTTAAATGCAAGCAAGTACCCTCTTTTTGTGTTTTACGCGGTATTAGTGATCGTGATATTGAATCCCGTTATTTTAGTACTTTAACAGTAGAGTTTCCGGAAATCACATTAGAAATTGATTTTCAAATAGTACATGACAAATTTTTGAATACCCCGATAGTAATTGGAACCGATGTTTTGAACCGAGAAGGGGTTACCTATATAAGGAAGAAGGGTATTCAACGATTAACTCGTATGGAAAGGGTATTTATTGCTGAGACGACTGAGTCAAATTTGATCTCCGTTATTAATACTCCTTTGATAGGTGAAAACAAGGACAAGTTGTTGAATTTAGTTGAACAATATTCAAAATATTTCATTACTGGTACCGCGATCAGTACTGTTACTACCGGATCTATGCAAATTCGTCTCAGCAATGAAACTCCTATTGTATATAGGCCTTATAAACTATCGCATAGTGAAAAACTCCGCGTTCGGGATATAGTTAAGGACCTTCTTGATAAAGGGGTCATAAGGGAGTCAGAATCAGAATTCTCGAGTCCAATATTACTAGTCAAGAAGAAAGACGGTAGCGACAGAATGTGCGTGGACTTCCGGGCACTTAATTCAAATACTGTGAAGGATCGCTACCCATTGCCATTGATAGATGATCACGTGGATCGATTAGGTAATGCCAAATATTTCACGAGTCTTGATATGGCTACTGGCTTTCACCAGATACCGATGGCTAGCGACTCCATTCACAAAACTGGTTTTGTAACACCTGAGGGGCATTTTGAATATCTCAAGATGCCCTATGGGTTGGCGAATGCCCCGGTTGTTTACCAACGCATTATCACAAATACCCTAAAGACATTCATTGAAACAGGAAGGGCCTTAGTGTATATTGACGATGTGCTTTTGCCTAGCCAGACTATTGATGAAGGACTCCTCATTTTGCGTGAAGTTTTAGAAGTTTTAACTAAAGCCGGATTTTTAATAAATTTAAAGAAATGTAAATTCCTTACTAACGAAATAGAATATCTGGGGAGAACAATCAGCAATGGTCAGGTTAGGCCAAGCGCTCATAAAGTAGAAGCCTTGAAAAGGGCACCGAGGCCTAGTAATGTAAAACAAGCACGTCAATTTCTAGGCTTGGCGGGTTATTTTAGACGTTATATTCCTGAGTATTCATTAAAGACAATGTGCATATCCAATTTATTTCGAAAGGGTGTTGAGTTTCGATGGGGTGACGAACAAGAGCAAGTTCGCCAGTACATTATTACACGTTTGACTGGCGAACCAGTTCTTGACATTTTTAACCCCTTATTACCTACGGAAGTGCACACTGACGCTTCGTCACTGGGCTATGGGGCTGTCTTAATCCAGACTCATGAGAGTGGTAGTAAGCGGGTGATTGGGTACTTTAGTAAAGTTACTCAGGGTGCTGAACCGCGTTACCACTCTTATGAGCTTGAAACGCTGGCAGTGGTCAAGGCGTTGCAATATTTCAGACATTACCTCATAGGTATACATTTCAAAGTAGTTACGGACTGCAACGCCTTGAAGCTCACACAGCGAAAGAAAGATTTATTACCGAGGGTTGCTCGGTGGTGGATCTATTTGCAAGACTATGATTTTGTATTAGAGTATCGCAAAGGCGCTGCGTTACCTCATGCCGATTATTTAAGTCGTAATCCGATAAATATTTGTGAGATTAGAAGACCTTGTAATTGGGCACAGGTAGCGCAAAATGCGGACGAGGAAACCAAAAACTTAATACAAAAATTGGAGGACGGTGTACTAGATGGGACACGTTATGTATTAAAAAATAATATTCTGTATTATAAGTTTGATTCTGCTGGTCAGCCTACTAAACTTCTCTGTTTTATCCCTAAAGGTCACCGCCTTAGTCTATTGCGTGTGTTTCACGATGAGCATCATCATATTGGTGCAGATAAAACAATTGATTTAATTCTAAATCATTTTTGGTTCCCTAATTTAAGACAATTTGTCCGCAAATATATACGTCATTGCATAGTATGTCTTTCACATAAAAAGGTACCACGTCAACCTTTGCAGCCGATCCAGTCGTGGAGAAAACCTGACGTACCTTTTGATACGGTACATAGTGATGTGTTAGGTCCCTCTCCCCGAGTCGAACGGCTACAAATTCGTTGTATTAATAGTTGAATGCATATAGTAAGTTCTGTTTGTTGTATCCAATATATAAACAAGACGCTAATGAACTGAAGCGTGTCTTTGAGAATGCTATATCCTTATTTAGCACACCTAGGCAGATTGTAGTCGATAGAGGTAGAATGTACGAGAGTAGATTATTTAAACAATGGGTGTCAGACGTGGGCAGTAGTTTATTCTTTATAACACCTGAGATGCATCAGAGTAATGGTCAGGCTGAGCGATATTGCAGGACAATTCTGAATATGATTCGTGTGGAGGTTAATTTTAGAAATGAAAGTTGGTCAGAAGTCTTATGGAAACTGCAGCTCACTCTGAACATTACGAAACAAAAGTCCACTCAATATTCACCCTTATTTTTGTTAATTGGCAGCGATGGTGTGACGCCCGTTATCCGTTCAGTTGTGCGTGATGTGGCCCTTGAGGGAACAAGTGGCAATCGCGAGGCCTTACGTGAGCTGGCCAGACAAAGAGCATCTCAATTGCTGGATCAAAACAGAAAACAGCAAGACACTCGAGTAAATGAACGGCGCAAGCCCCCACATGTTTTTCATGAAAATGACATGGTCTTCGTACATAAGAACAGTCAATCTGTGGGCAAACTTGACTCTGGCATGCGCGGTCCATACAAAGTTGTGCGCGCATTGCCTCATGGTCGATACGAGCTGAAGCTTATTTCTGGCTCACTCGGGAAGACCACAGAAGCTGCTGCTGAGCATATAAGTGCTTGGCACGGAGAATGGACACCAGATGTGTGCGCCGTATTCTTCGAGTGTGAGTATATTTGTAACTGTAATAGGGACTATTTGCATTGTATCACTTAAGCGATATAATAAAAATAGTACTTTATTACATATTGGTCATCCTGTGGGCTCTGACACATAACATGTTATGTATAATTGTTTTATTTTGAGATATACCGCGGTCACTGTCTCGGTCATCCTGAGGGCTCTGACACATGTTAAAATTCATGTATTTAAGAACATGCTGCGGCCTCTGTTGTTGAATTACAATTTTTCAGTATTTTATTGCTGGTATGGTTTATTTTGTTGGCATAATTCCATCGTAAACATTATATTTCCAGGTGATGAGAATGAGAGCTGCTCTGACGATAGCATCATCGTTGGCCCGTCGCACCTACGTGACGTCACCATAGCTGAAAGAGCGGGCGAGGGCGCTCCGCCGTCAGGAGAGGCCGTGTTAGCGGAGAATGCTCAAGAATAGGGGCGTGGCTTGAGTGACGTAATTTGTGGCGTGATGGTGGCGTGGTGGCTCGCTTGACAACGCACGAGTCGCCGACACTGGAGCGGCTAACTTTACTTTTGTCGTGGCTGCCGGAACGGACGGACGTTCACATCATCGCTTCTCTTATTTATTTTAGTATTGTTAATTATTCGTTAAAAAATAATAAAAAGTAATATCTTTAATTTCATCGTGTATAATTTTTTTTTATAATAAAGTTAGTGCATAGATAAATATATATATATATATATATATATATATATATATATATATATATATACATGACACACACACCCACATGACACACACACATGACACCCACATGACACACACACATACACATGACACACACACACACACATGACACACACACACACATGAGACACTCACACACACATGACACTCACACATGACACCCACATGACACACACACACACACACACATGACACAAACACACACACATGACACCCACATGACACACACACACACACATGATACCCACATGACACACACACACACACATGACACACACACACACACACATGCACACACACACATGAAACACACGTCACACACACACACACACGACACAACTGGCCCCAAACTCACCCCTGCACATCGAATTGCAAGATTACTTTTTGCCCGAGATCACGTGAATTGGAATTTGGAGCAGTGGAAGAAGGTTCTTATTACTGACGAAAGCAGAATGTTTTTGCATGGTTCCGACGGCCGTAATTTTGTTTACCGGCGATCAGGTAATTACCATTCTAGAGGAATCAATAATTTTTTAAGCTATTGCATAGCTTCTATCGCGGGCCTTGAGCGTGGGGACCGAATCCAGAAAGTCCGTAACGAAAAAAACCTAACACCCCCCACTCAGATTTGACATCTGACATCTGACGTTTCTGACGACCTGACAAAAAAAACCAAACAAAAAACAAAAAAAAACAATATATATATATAATCGATCGTTGTTGTGTAAATTGATATACATGAAGTAATAATATCTAATAACTCATTGGAATATTTTTCGCCAAACCTAACCCAAACCGAACCAAAACTAACGCAACTGGCCCCAAACTCACCCCTGCACATCGAATTGCAAGATTAATTTTTGCCCGAGATCACGTGAATTGGAATTTGGAGCAGTGAAAGAAGGTTCTTATTACTGACGAAAGCAGAATGTTATTGCATAGTTCCGACGGCCGTAATTTTGTTTACCGGCGATCAGGTAATTACCATTCTAGAGGAATCAATAATTTTTTAAGCTATTGCATAGCTTCTATCGCGGGCCTTGAGCGTGGGGACCGAATCCAGAAATTCCGTAACGAAAAAAACCTAACACCCCCCACTCAGATTTGACATCTGACATCTGACGTTTCTGACGACCTGACAAAAAAAACCAAACAAAAAACAAAAAAAAACAATATATATATAATCGATCGTCGTTGTGTAAATTGATATACATGAAGTAATAATATCTAATAACTCATTGGAATATTTTTCGCCAAACCTAACCCAAACCAAAAAAAAGAAAAAAAAACAAAACAATATATTTATAATCGATCGTCGTTGTGTAAATTGATATACATGAAGTAATAATATCTAATAACTCATTGGAATATTTTTCGCCAAACCTAACCCAAACCAAAAAAAAAAAACAATATATATATAATCGATCGTCGTTGTTTAAATTGATATACATGAAGTAATAATATCTAATAACTCATTGGAATATTTTTCACCAAACCTAACCCAAACCAAAAAAAAAAACAATATATATATAATCGATCGTCGTTGTGTAAATTGATATACATGAAGTAATAATATCTAATAACTCATTGGAATATTTTTCGCCAAACCTAACCCAAACCAACAAAAAAACAATATATATAATCGATCGACGTTGTGTAAATTTATATACATGAAGTAATAATATCTAATAACTCATTGGAATATTTTTCGCCAAACCTAACCCAAACCAAAAAAAAAACAATATATATATAATCGATCGTCGTTGTGTAAATTGATATACATGAAGTAATAATATCTAATAACTCATTGAAATATTTTTCGCCAAACCTAACCCAAACCAAAAAAAAAAAACAATATATATATAATCGATCGTCGTTGTGTAAATTGATATACTTGAAGTAATAATATCTAATAACTCATTGGAATATTTTTTTTTCCAAACCTAACCCAAACCAAAAAAACAAACAATATATATATAATCGATCGTCGTTGTGTAAATTGATATACATGAAGTAATAATATCTAATAACTCATTGGAATATTTTTCGCCAAACCTAACCCAAACCAAAAAAAAACAATATATATATAATCGATCGTCGTTGTGTAAATTGATATACATGAAGTAATAATATCTAATAACTCATTGGAATATTTTTCGCCAAACCTAACCCAAACCAAAAAAAAAACCATATATATATAATCGATCGTCGTTGTCTAAATTGATATACATGAAGTTATAATATCTAATAACTCATTGGAATATTTTTCGCCAAACCTAACCCAAACCAAAAAAAAAAACAATATATATAATCGATCGTCGTTGTGTAAATTGATATACATGAAGTAATAATATCTAATAACTCATTAGATTATTTTTCGCCAAACCTAACCCAAACCAAAAAAAAAAACAATATATATTTAATCGATCGTCGTTGTGTAAATTGATATACATGAAGTAATAATATCTTATAACTCATTGGAATATTTTTCGCCAAACCTAACCCAAACCAAAAAAAAAACAATATATATATAATCGATCGTCGTTGTGTAAATTGATATACATGAAGTAATAATATCTAATAACTCATTGGAATATTTTTCGCCAAACCTAACCCAAACCAAAAAAAAAAAAACAATATATATTTAATCGATCGTCGTTGTGTAAATTGATATACATGAAGTAATAATATCTTATAACTCATTGGAATATTTTTCGCCAAACCTAACCCAAACCAAAAAAAAACAATATATATATAATCGATCGTCGTTGTGTAAATTGATATACATGAAGTAATAATATCTAATAACTCATTGGAATATTTTTCGCCAAACCTAACCCAAACCAAAAAAAAAGCAATAAATATATAATCGATCGTTGTTGTGTAAATTGATATACATGAAGTAATAATATCTAATAACTCATTGGATTATTTTTCGGCAAACCTTTTTTTTTTTTTTTTTTTTTTTTAACGTTGGGAAATGCATTTACGCACGATGTGTGGGACTCACCGGCAAAGCCAGTACTACCCACTAAAACCCAACAAAACCTTCCCCCGTCTTAATGGGGCGTCGCAGGATCGCTTACGCATTCAACTACGACGCCCCGACGGCAGGTCTGCCGAAGCAGACCACAACAACCACGGGGTTGCTCCACAGTCCACTCTGCTATCAGAGAAGTACCAGGAGCAACCCGCATGGTACACTGCCCTCCGAAGAGGGCTACCTCCCACCGCCCACCGAAGTGGGCCACCTCCCTGTGCGTTTCTTGGCTTCGCGCCCGGTTGGGTTGCCGGGCACTACTGAGCCCCCCCACCACGACAAGGTGAACGCACGTTGGGGGGGATTTTTCGGCAAACCTAACCCAAACCAAAAAAAAACAGTATATATATAATCGATCGTCGTTGTGTAAATTGATATACTTGAAGTAATAATATCTAATAACTCATTGGAATATTTTTCGCCAAACCTAACCCAAACCAAAAAAAAAAACAATATATATATAATCGATCGTCGTTGTGTAAATTGATATACATTAAGTAATAATATCTATCGGCGTGACGCCGTTAATTAATCATAATTAGAATAAATTCATAATTTAAAATTATAATAAATAATAAAAAAAATCAATTTCTAAAGTAACTTTTCATATTTAGATAAGTTGTAACGTTTTCAATTGTTGTTAAATAACTATTGTTTTTGATTTCCTGTTATTTTATGGTAAATTAAATTATCAATAATATTTATCGGCGTGACGCCGTTAATTAATCTTATTTAGAATAAATTCATCATTTAAAATTATAATAAATTCAATTTCTAAAGTAACTTTTCATATTTAAATAAGTTGTAGCGTTTTCAATTGTTGTTAAATAACTATTGTTTTTGATTTCCTGTTATTTTATGGTAAATTAAATTATCAATAATATTATAAAGCTCATAAATGTTAAAATTAAAATAATAAATTATTAAGTTCGTATTTCCTCTTATTTTATGGTATATTAATTTATCAATAGTTTTACAATTGTAAAGTTTGAACATAGTACGAAAAAAAAAAGAGGGCGCTATGTTTAAGCTAATATGGCGGGAAAGCGGCCGACCAAGAGGAGGGTGGACGATGGGTCGCACTTCACTTTTGCTCGGGCGTTTACCTGGTATAGAGGACTGGCTGTTTTTACTTAAGCTAGCAGATAAGTATTTAGGATAGGTTAAAATAATTATAGTGTTAATTTGTTTATTATTAATTGGTTTGTTAGTTTAAAGTGATTAGTAAAAATTATAATAGTAAGTAAAACGACTTATCATTTTGATCTCTAGTTGATTTTAATTATCTTTAAATTTATTTAAATTAAAAATGAACGAAAATAACAAGGTAAGTGACGTCAGCAATGCTGACGTCGTTTTTAATGACAATATTTCTGTTCGTCCATTGTCATCAGAAGTGGGATGCCCTCCCACTTCTGCCGGACATTCTGATAATACTGGTTATGCTGCGGAACACGTAAGTACTGAGCCTAACACCACTAACATTACGACGGAATTTTTTGTGCAAATGATGCAGACCATGCAGCAGATGTCGGAAAAATTGATGTCGCAACAATATAATAAGGTAAAAATCAACGATATATTTTTACCCTCCTATGATCCTGACGGCTCCGTGGGTATACGAGAATGGTGTCAACATATATCAAAAGCAATTGACAAATATAAGCTTGATGATTATGACATC